TTTCCCTCCTAATCATAACCTCTTCCACGTGTCAGGCGCTCCTTCTCCCACCTGTCGCCTCGAGCTCCAAACCGCCTCTCTCTCTCCTATAAATACTCCTCCAACCCATCTCATTTCTTCACTTCTCTCCTTCGCTCCTCAAGTTTTAACCGGTCTACTTTCTCTCTCTAGCCTTCTGCCAAGTAAGTCCTCCAGTCCTCCTAGTCTTTTAATTCTTCCATCTTTCCATTTTTGACCGGTAGGCTGAAGTCATGTCTTCCTCTGACTCACAAAATGTATCCGGTCAATCTTATGGATCGGGTTCTCAACCCTCTTTCTCATCTGAGTCTTCTTCTCCCCCTGTCACGCCTTTGATTGCCGCCCTTCTCACCAGTCTAATTCTCAGGCCCGGGAAATAATTGCCCAGGACCCTGTCCCTTTGAATCAACTGCCCGGTCGATTCAATCCCAAGGTCCTTAGCTGGGAGCAATGGGAGGAACGACTGGGATCCTTGGGCTTTCTAGCCCTTGATGTCAGACCGGTGTTCAAAGAGTCTTCTAGGGTCACTAAAAAGGCTCTGGCCGAGGTCCGTACCATCCTCCCACCAGGCTACAAAGTCCTTTCCACAACCACCTGGCCCAACATCATTGAACCCCACCAGGGAACCCGGTTGGGTTTCCATATTGCATCTCTGGAGGGAGGTATTATTTTTCCTCTCCGCCCCCTCCTTATTGAAATCTGTAACAAGTTCAAGATTTTGCCCGGCCAGCTTACTCCAAATGCTCACCGGTTCTTGAATTGTTTTGTAAATATCTGTGAAAATTTGAAAATCGACCCTTCCCTTCATCTTTTCCTTCACATGTACGAAGTTTTGCCCGGGAGTAGTAATTGCCCGGGCTTCATCTATTTCCATTCCCGCAATAAGAGGGGGTTTGTGACCGGTCTTCCCCCCAGCCATAAGAGATGGAAACAAAGATTCGTTTTTATTGAGTTTCCCTCTGACCAATTTCCTTTCACTAACCCTGAGTGGGCTGACCGGGTAATAAAACCTGAAAGGGTTCACCCGGAGCCTACCCCTGAGCTTGAAGATGCCTGCGAGAAACTTCTCAAGGGTGATCCTGTGACCGGTAAGCCATACGCCTACGGTGGATGGGTATACCGGTTACCTAACCCGGATGGGGGTGAATCTGCGACCCATGACGCAGAAGATGACCGGGTAGACTCCCCGGATGGTCATGCTGAGGCCAGTTCTCCCCGTCCAGGTCGATCATCTTCTCTTAAGCTTCCTACTTTCATTTTCTTTATTTATGTACAAGGCTTAAGAACTAACCGGTCATTAGTTGCTTTGTTCTTTTTTCAGACATGAACTTCAACAGGATGACCACCATCATTGAGGATGACGACGATGATGTCCAAGTCCTCCACTCCAACCGGTCTCCTCTCTCCAAGCCTCCTTCTCCTCCTTACTTCCCTGAAATGGATGGGGCCACAAGTGCCCGGTGTAGCCCTACCCATGAACAGAGCCAAAAACCGAACTCTCCTCCAGCCACCCATCTCTTTGAAAGTGACCGGGTCCCTTATCCCAAGAAGGATGTCAAGGCCAAAGGGAAGGGGACCGGTCATTCTTCTTCTCAGAAAAGGAAGAGTTCCCACAAGACTTCCAGGGTGGAGAGGAGGAAAAAGGTCAGGCTATTAGATCTAGAAGGGGAGTCCATT